TCTAGGTACGACTCCAGCATCCCTCAGAAGACCTTCGGGTTGAGAGCTGCACTGGGTGTCTCAAACTGGGAGTCTGCTGAGGCCCTCTGGAGCAAATTGACAGTCTCAAATTCCAGCATGTCACAGTACATTCTCCAGCAATGTTCTTGCACCAACATGCTTGGGCTCCAGCTGCCCAATTCCCTGCACTGAACAGTTGAAAACCACGTCCAGTCACTCCAAATAAAAAACACGCATAGGGCACTGAGCCATTGTCCATGCAATTGAAGTGTTTCACAAGCTCATCAAGTTGTTGAATTCCCTGCATGCAACCGATTTCGTGTGGCTCCTCCAGTAAGTTGTTGAGTTCCATGGTTTAGGGTTTAGGGTTTAGCATGGGGGCTTCAGCTATTGGGCAGAACTTGCCACTTGGTTGTTGGGCTCCTGCCTACAAGCTTCCCGACATTTATAGCTTTCAGAGCAATTCATGCTAGACAACTTTTGCAACTGTTCCTGGCATTCTCCAGGCCCATGAGTTTCTGGCAGGTAAGTCTACCTACAAGCCGCGAACGGGTCCTATGCCCTAGACTCTGAATCAATGAAAAGTTCTGTGTGCGCGGCTCGTGATGTCACCTCCCCAGCACAGGTCACCTGGGATCGCAACTGCTCGCTTTCTTCGTGCAAGAGAATGGCAATTATCAATTTCATGGTTAGGCCGCTGGCGGGCGGAGGGGGGATGGCGGTGGCGGCGGGCGGCGGTGGTATTGGGTTGGGGACGGGGTGGCGGCAGCGCGGGCAGGACGGTTCGGTGGCGTTTTCGGTGGCTGCGGCGGCGTGGCGGAGGTGGTGCTTGGCTGCAGTGCTATCTTCTCCTCTAGTAATTAGCAGCAACACATATGGCAGTTTCCCTTAATCGGGGGACCTCTCAAAGTACTCTAATTCCTTTTAGGGAGCTGAACTCTAAACCCTAAGCCCTATTAATATAAGCCCTGTTTACCCCTAAAGAAATATGACCCCTCTGAGGTTCCCGCGAATGTTGGAAACCCTAAACCCTGAATAAGCCCTATATGCCCCCTTTATAACACCTCTAAAGGTACCGCTAATTTGGGAAACCTCATGTGTGTATACCAGGTGTCCCTTGGCCGGACTGCACAGCCTGGGATGGCCTGGGGTTCCCTATAAGGGATTATATAGGGTTTAGGGTTATCTCGGCCCGATGCATGTCGTGCGAATACTTTTTCGTTCTTGGCTTGGAATTAATGAGCTCTAATCTAAACTCCTAGTATCCCCCTTCATAAAACCCTATAATCCTCCCCTGTGTACTCCCCCATGTAACCTCAATTCAGACCACAGCTCTCATGTTGACCCAGAATGCCACAACAAAAAAAACATAGCCCACCTCCAGCTGTGCAATGCGCTGGCGGGCCTGCTTGCAACTTCTTTTCACTAAACCTCTCTGCCGTGCTTCAAGATTCAACAAACATGGATGCGTGGAGGAGACGTTCAGCTCATTGCATGGAAATCCTTGCAGCCTTCTACCTACAGTAGCTGATTCAGCTTGTCCAGCCAAGTATCAAAAGCATTCAAAAGCAACTCCTTCCCCGCAGACTCCTAGCTCTGCTAGCGGGACTTGCAGCCTCTGCTGGAACCGAAGCGCTTTGCTAGCACGGCCCCCAAAAAGGGATGCGGGACTGCGCTGCTACCCTGCGCGATCTCAGTAAAATGCCTGGCAATGGACTACCTGGACCCCTCAGGATTCCTGTTCATCTTCTTCTCCGTGGCGAAAGTGGAACTCTGCCGAAGATTCGCGGGGGTCTTATGATAGTCTCCGTAACTGCACCGGTCAAACTGGTTTCGGGGAGAAACTTAAATCTGGAAAGGCCGCCTTGCTCAGAGTTAGCCCGCGCAGCTTTTTTCGACGGAACTTGCAAAACAGCAACTTCGACGCGGGCGTTTCCAAAAATCGGGGCCCTCTCATTTACCCGGAGTTATCATAATCTTGATTTTGTAATGTAATGTAGGGGCTCCCAGAAAAGGGTCCCTAAATTTTGGAACCTCCGAATGCGTCTGAAACACGCCTTCACTTCACACGCCCACAGGCGAGAGGCCATCAGCATGCATAAACCCTCCCCATGGTTAAGAAATCCCCTCCCCTTAGTAGGGATTACAATAGGGATCCTTATATTAAGGCCCTCAAAAGGAGGGGTTTATTCATCATGGGTCTACATGACCTACTAGCCAAGGATACCGTCTTGTGGGATCCCAGTGTTTAGGGTTTAGGATTTAGGGTGCTTACTATTTGGGTTTGGGAGGCTGCTTGGAAGGGGCTACTAGAGGATAACACTGGGCGTATTAAGGGGAGATAATATGTTACTGAAATCTCCGGTTCCTCAAATTGCAGCTGCGGGTTTCAGGACTAGCAAACGCAGTTCGTCCACCTGCAGGTCTTGCATCCCCTTCAAGTTCTGACAGTGACATATCCCCCCCTTAAGAGGGTAGAAGCCATTTCTGCCCGTATGAACTCAGAAACGCTTTATAAAGAGGAGGGGGGCGGGGAAGGGGAGGGAGGGGTCCATGTTCACAGGAACCTAAGAAAAGAAACAATCATAATATGGGGGGGCCTCATGTAAAACCGTTTCTGTTACATTGAAGGTGGGGGGAGACATTGATACAGCAGAATAGGCTTAGATAGCTGTTTAATGCTCTCTATACAAAGAAATAGAAAGAAGAGATAAGGGAAGCATGCCCATTAAAAGTATATACATATATAATATCTATAATGCATATATGGCAGTTTCCCTAAATAGAAGGAACTCCAGTACAGACCCCATCACCTAAAGTCCTTACTATAGGGACCGCAAAATGGGTACCTGATTCTGGGAAACCCTCGTATGTACCTCCTTATGTAAAGAGCTATCAACCCCTGGGGATACAGGGTACTACATTCCCGCTCCGTTGGGTTACGCGCCCTTAAGTGTCACCGTGAGGGTACCCTCCCCCCACCCATTTTATTCTAAGGGCGGCATCTGACGGGCTATACTTTTACCAAAGCCTTCGTTCACATCCAACTGCACGCCTCTCAAAGCTGTGGAAGTAGAAACATGCACTGCGGCCTGCCAAGGCCCAAACAAATCCCCGGCTTAGTTTGTGGACCCCGGGACTACCAGCGGGCAATAGAACCTGCTTATACAGGGCCACAGCAGGGCTCTAATCAGCTTTTAAGGGATATCGGAAATTTAGCAGGAGGGGCTGCGCGTGTTCTGCAAATGCTGTCTGACAAGCTTGGAACCTATGCCATTTCCATGAGACGCGGCTAGCTGGCGCTCAACATATAACTGCGCTGTGTAGTCTGGGTCTATGTCATACATCGGACGCAGGAACCTTAGGTAAATGCGAATAGAAACTATTAATTACAGAGGACCCGAGTCTCGGCAGACTGGAAACGTGCAAAGTTTGAAACAGTAACGGTCCGCAGACACGACTCTGAGGCCTCTGCAGGCCGCAAGGCAGCTGACTCTCCAAACAATACTTGGCAAAGACGGCAGTAGACAGCGGTCTCGCCACAAGCACCAACAACGGCACGTCCCCGACTACCCTAAACTACTGCCTACTACTAACACGTAAAAGTCACGAGCACGAAGGCAATACCGATGCTGAGCGTGCTGACCAAATACCCTCTTCATAAGCTTTCTATGTCTGCCACACGCTTCTCCATGCGACCTCCCCAAGGTCTCAGAATCGTTGTCTGCTGAGATCCAGTCAGGTTCCAAGAATCTCTGCCAATTCACAATGCCCAGGCAGAAATCCGTAAATGCTGCAAACTTCAAGGGCAGTCAGCGACCTCGCAAACAATGATCGCCGAAACATCTGTCAAACTAACCGAGTAAGCAACAATGACGGCTACTAGAAGCATATGAAACGTTCTGACCTGCGACTCGTGACATCATCTGCTCCATACCCACAGGGTGCAGGCATGGGTGGCTTCTTTGCTGCCATGTTTGCGCGCTGTATGTTGCTTCCCATTCGCCACGTTCGTGGTTGACTGGGAAGCTATTGCAAAGCAAGGGTGTGATGCTTCCAAGGCTATGCTGGCCTATGGCATGACCACGTAGCGGCCATGAACTTTCAACTCTGGGACTCATGCCCTGACTCTGGAAACTCACGGATTTCATGTGGGATTTGATGACGTGTCCTCCTGTTCAAATCCCTGGTGCATGTCACAGTCTTGCTTTCCACAAGTTCCATCTTCTACAATGTTGTGCAGTAATGGTGAGAAGGACCTGATTGGTGACCGGTTAATGTCTTGCGTGACCGAGGACTACCTAACCTGAAACTGTCGTCACTCGCCCGATCCTTCGCGAACCTACGAAGAACGACCCCAGACCCTGAATCAATTCCATCCTGGATCAAAGCCCACATTTCTGCGACCGGGGCGGGCCAAAGGCTCGCCCCACTTCCTACTTCAGCTCTCCATGCTTCAGGCGTTACACATGCTGCCAGCTTCGGTCGGGTTATTGGCTATGCGGACCCGGACCGTTCAAAATAACTTGGCTCCTGTCCTCTCACAGGCTGATGACGAAAGTCTGACAGGCTCGCACATTGCTACTGGCAAGCAGGTCGTTGTGGTCTGAGACGGTCACTTCACTGACCCTGCAGTTCTGATCCTCGGACACAGGTGCAGAACTTAAACTTCTCTCGCCCACAAGGCCCAGAATGCCAGTTGACTCTGTGGGAACGACCCAAGACCCTTCTAATGAGTCCTGGTGGTTCTCGGTCGTCTCGCTCGAGATTTCCGGCTGGTGGGGGTATTCTGGATCCTTTGCCTCCTCTTCCAGCCTGGCTTGTGCGTGGTAGCTTGGCAAGCCCCATAGCCATTCTCTGAGCGTGGTATTGCGATTTTAGCATGCCTCAAAAGACAGGAAATCGCTTGGAAGGACAATAGTGTTGCAATTTAACTTTCTGTCATCTGTGTCAAGTGGACAGGCCTCACTCTTGATGCCCATTTTGAGGCTGCCCTTGACTTATTCAACCCTCAGTGATGCACATGTCGCTTGACCTTGTGCGAGGGCGCCAACGTCTAAACCTGTCTCAGACATGAGTAACTGTAACTGCTTGCTGCCCAGAAACTGTTCCCGAAGACATTTGATAGACCTTTTGAAAGCCTCAGGATCCTTCTCCACTGACAGACGGAACTCCTCAAGGTGATCCTTGATGGTCGGGAAACGCCACAAAGGCCGAGAGGCCAAGATGCCTGACAAATCCAAAACTTGCTCCAAAACTAGCCCAGGGTCTATCTGCCGGAACATCTGCTGTGTTTCCTTCAGTCGGGCAGCTTTCTGCATGGTTCGGAGTGCCCAGGGGTCGTGCATGCACGGCCACGCTACCCGCTTGAGAACACCTGGTGGCTACCCAGGAGCTGAGTTGGAAATGGAGCCAAATGGCTTCAGGTTAAGTAGCTCAGGGGCTGCAAGTGCTTGTAGGTTACATCATGGGCATGATATGCAACATGGTACGGCTTTCGGGTAGTGTGTGGAAATTCCCTGCGGCAGGAACGTGGTTCATGTCGACTCGCGTGACATCAGGAGTTGAACTGGCATCTTCAAGCAACCCTTGCGTAACCAGTCATGAAATCTGTCTCTTTGTTCCGACACAAATACTACCCCAAAATTAAATATGCATCCAAGAATATCAAGCTCTCTTGGGGAGGAGGGGAACGGGATCCTTATGGATCTGCCAGTCTCTTTCCGAGGCACAAGCTTTATCGAGTGCTGCAGCGCTCAAGCTTCATGCAGTACGTTTATTCAGTCGGATTGCTGAGATTTGCAGTGGGCTACTTACATGCTCGGCAAGCAAGAAAGAAGGGCACTTAGGGCACTTTACCAATAGAAGTTGCGCTTGGCATGTGCGCTTGCTCCCGTGCGAGAATGCGCAAATCAGGAGAGTCACGCTATGTGCTTGTGAGAGATCTGGGCAGTCACGTGCGCAGCGAGAGAAGGGAACCAATGTGAGAGTTTGGTTCTAGGTCGGTCCCTTTCTTGTGCATATCCTACGGGCCTATGACATGATGCCACACCCAACCGAAAACAGCCACTTTGGCATGGGCGATTTTGCAGAAATCCTGTACCGGGCTTCACGAAATGCGTTTCCTGCAAGGGGGTTTGCAGAATTTGGGGCCTCCACCGTTGGTTGGGAAAGAGGACCCCGAATTCCTTGACCAGGAAGGGCTAGCAGGCCGTAGGCTTCCCTTCTAGGACATATCCTGAACACTAGACCCTGAACCAATCCATCCTGCGGCCCCCATGCGGAAGGATAGTCGGCAATGGACAGACAGACAAGCCAGGAGCATGCCAAGCTTGCTTGACAGTTTCCACAGAGCATGGGGTGCTTGAAGAGAGACTACGGCTTCTGGTTCCTACTGGGGCGCTCTGAAACAAACTATGATTTAACATTGCTTCTTTTGCTTCAACGAATAGTACATCAAACAGTTTTCATCCGTGACACAATATAGTCTTTGAACACCCAATTGCGCTCCCTTGGAGACCGTCCTCACTGGTGCTCCGTGAACCTGGGTCCCAGCGCTAAACCACTTCGAAAAGTCATTTTGGAAAGATCACTAGCAACCCAAGCCCCTAAATCTATTCAATTGCGATTTCCATTCATGTTCCATTTCCTTTTCCATGTGATTCTCTATTTCCCTGCGTGACTCTTATCTAGATCCTACACAAGCCCTACAACATCCATTCTCCTCTTCTGGCCGGAATACAATACAAATCAAGAATCACATGCAACTTTTGGCCCTTGCAGGGCAGTGAAAGGGGTTTGTCTTTCGTCAAGATGGGAAGGAGCAAGGAAGGACTTTAGAACAACCCCCATGTGGATTCATCACCTCTTGCTCTAAACCATATAAACCTTAAACAGTGATCCCAGATTGCGGAGTTGCCGCTTAAATCTAAACCTGGTCTTCTCCAGAGATGTGACATGGGCAGGTGTTTCTCAAAAAACAACGGCCCTCATGCGCCCGGGGGGGGGGAAGAAATCAGGGTCCCTTAAGAATTCTGCAGGGGTTGGTTGAGAAACTCCCGCATCCTTGCCTTGAAGAGGCACCTTTCAAAACAGCCACCTGTAGTGCCAACATGCAGTTAATTATCACGGCGGAGGCTTTGAACCCCAGCGCATCAAAACCAAACTGCATTCTTCGCAGGCGTGCCCAGTCGACCCAATTGCTTTGGGCCTGGGCATTCGCCGTTGCTTGGAGGAGTGAGAGTTTAGGGCTATGATTTAGTGCGCGAGGAGGTTTCGGAACTTTGCCGCTAGAGGAAATTGAGAACTCTGACAGGGACATGTATCCCTACATGCCCACGGTAGAGTCCCGGCATGTCTCTAGCTACACATTCAACTAAACCTTAACACCCACAAACCCAACCTAGTGGTACTTACTATGCGCCTACAACCCCAAACACTGCAACCCTAAACTCCTCGACCCTGACACGGTCATAAATCTGCAAGTCTGCCAGGAAGACAAGGAGTAGAAAGCCTCTGATGCCTGCACCAGTCCATGGATACTGGCGGCTCTGACACTGCGAGATACTGAAGTGTCTCAGAAAAAGTGGGGTCTTGTGCGTACGTGGGAATTAGACTGGGGGGTCCCTGTTTAGAATTCTATAGAGGAGGGAGCTACTCAAAAACTCACCAGAGGAATGACACAAAGGTTTCTCAAAATGATTGGGTTGGCGTTAAGGAACTTACATTAATTTACTATAATAAGGAAGCCCTATCATTTACTATATACCCACTATGGTAACCTAAGCCCCTTAACCCTATACCCGGAATACCCATATTATGGTAACTAAATTCAAATAGAAAAATGGGGCTGCCGTATTCTAGTAGCATGATTTAAATTCCCTGCACCCTACACCCTTAATAGCTACCCAGATGAGGGAATGATCTGGGAGAGTGGTTGCCAGTTGATTGTCATTGACAGGGGGGGCTGGGGTTTAGGGTTTAGGGTCAAGATTACCCTACTTGGAGGGTTGGAGGTTCTTGTATGGCTTATAATGGTTGTTAACCTATTTACTAGGTCTTCATGACTCTCCAAGTAAGCCTACAAGGGATCAAGGACCCAAATGTTAGGGTTTCAGATGCCAAGCAGCATTCAGATTGTGCTAAACCCTAAACCCTAAACCTTGGGACTCGAAACCCCATCATTTGAGTCCATGCACCTCGGGGATATAGAGGGTTCTTACAGGGAAGAATCATAATGTGCAGTTTGCTCGATGTCTGCAGCTGGCTTCAGTCTGAATGGCTGAGCCTGAAAAGCTTCAAAGACATCATCGATGCTGTTTTGCCACATCCATATTACTATCCTCCTCCTCTATCTCTTGCTACATACTTACCAGTTCTGCTCTAGTGACAGGCTGCACAGCCCACGCACCTCTGCAGGTCATTCTGTAGGACAATCCTTTCAGGCCCTTGCAGTAAGCTTTTCTGTACAATTTTTCTGAGATCAGACATGTCGCCCTCATGGCCGGTCGCGCTGATTGAGGTTGGTCTGCCACTCGAACATGATCCACACATTCACACAGCCGGTGAAGCATAGCTAGAGACACTAGAACAGTTCAAGTGCCAATGCTTGGGGCTTGGCTCTGGCCTCAGACGCTAAACAAGAATTGACACCCTGCAGGCCCCCTCTGTTTCTGCAGCAGGGGCCCCATTTTGGGCAGTTGGAGAAGAAGTCGGGTTGAACAACCCGCTGTCCCGCCGCATGCGGCGCACATGTGCCCGTGGCTGCGGTAACGTGGTGCAAAACCTAAGGCATTCTGAGCTGCAGCATCTCTCCCGCTGACTATTTGGGGTCCCAGAGTAAGCGGTGCTGTTTTGAGCGTGCCCCCACCCTATTTCTGGAAACTACCGGTTAACCAGTTATCTAACCTTGGGGAGGCTAATGCTGCCGAGAAGGACAAACGTCAAGGTCGCAAGTGAATCTGAAACGTCATGTCAATTTTTGGAACCCGCTCGTTCCGCATGTTCCCCCACAACAGTGAAGTTAGGATGCGAAACATCAAGGTGGAGTTGCAGCTCGCGCTTGCAATTTTTCAAAAAGTCGCCTCTATCTTGGCAGAATATTTCCTAATACTTAAAGAGGGTTTGCTCTTGCCATGCTTGTTGGGGCCATGTTCTGCAGCAATTCCACCAAAGTGGGTATCAGACAAAGGCAGCGGATCTCTAGATCCTTGTGGGTCCTTCCTAAAGACTGATCAGGCGAGGCTTGCAAGCCCGCCCCCGGCACATGTGTCGAGAAGCCACCCTGTGACCTAGGTCATTCATGCAGTCATAAAAAGGGGTTTACACCCTGAACCTCAACTGCGTTTAGTAGGTGAATACGGTGGACAGCGGATAGCTTGCAGAGTGAGATGATTTTGTAGTTCCTGGGGTATGTATGGCGGGCATTCGGTGGCAAGATTTCCTTCATCGTGACGCCCCCACCTGCAACAAGGGGCAACGGAAATTATGTTCCATGTATTTTCATATTAGCCCACTCCCTAGGATCGCCTAAAGTAAACGTTAAACTTTCAAACAATGCTGAAGACGACTCTGCGACCGCGACAGCCGGGGAACTCGGAATCATCGGAGCTGACATCGCCTAAGCCTTAGCCGATTTGGTAATTTCCCAAAATAGGGAGACCCCAATATAGACCCCAAAATACTATAGTCCTTATTATTGGGGCCTCCAAAAGGGTACCCCTAATTTTGGGAAACCCCCATTTGCGTATCTGCTTCCCTTCATGGCTCAGCCCTGAAGTATTTAAGCTCTTATAGGGATGTCTTCGCTACTAAATCTTAGGGGGAAAGGGATTAGGCTATGCGTCCTCACGGTTTCCAGTGGTTTTTCCTCTCCCCCAATATTTCCCCCCCCTTATAATGCCCCCCCAATGTGTTACGATTATACATTAGGCTATTAGGGGTGGGGGTATCATTAAGGAGAAGGGGCTACAAATGCGGGCTGGGCAGCTCGGCCTTAGATGATACAGGTCGGGGAAGATGCCGTTCATCCTACTGATTCCCACTTGGAGGATCATGGGACTTAGTAACTACTTACAACTGGGCTTATAACCCTACTTATAATCCCCCTAAATGGGCTTATAGGGGCTACCCCAATTATAAATAGGGTTATAACCCCAGTTATAAGTGGTTACTAAGTCCCATGGGCCTCCAAGCACATAGCCCCAAACCTAAATCCTAAGCTCACCCAACGCTCGAGCTACTAGCCCACAATCTCCAAGTAGACAGTAAAATCATGGACATGAAGTAAACGATATACCCAAGCTCAAAGCCCGACAATAATCACCTCCCCTAATGACCAAGTACCCCA